CCTGATGTTTCAAATGTTTTTAGTGGCATAGAAGGCAAATGACTTCAAGGGGTTGAATCAAAAGGGTATCTTCCAAGTGAGGGGATGTCAAAGGTTTTCAGGAGGAGCTAAGTTTTAAAAGGGCGACAAGACTCAGAGAAGAGGGCTAAAAGGAAGGAGATCTAGGCAGAGAAGAAAGGCTGATATCGACGAAATACTTCTTAGAGTCTATTAAAGCTCTCCTAGTATACTTTTATACTAGTATACTTTTCTTCTAGTATACTTCCCTGAGAAAATACACACCACACTGAAGAAGAAAGAATAAAGGCTGCAAAGCTAATTTTTCCGTAGTCAAAATATATAAAATCCTTGCCAGTCACTGTGCCTGGGAACTGTTGCTACAAACCTATGAGTAAGTTTGAACAAATTTATTTCTTTGCTCATCTTAGATCTTAGACCATGCACATGGCCCGATGGTGCAGAAAACAGGAACACAAAGACACAGCTTCTTCCTCTACATTTTCTAAATGTGGCTTTTGATCAGCATTTCTAGGAGTCCCTGGAACTCTGACTTAAACTTGTCAGATTCCCAGAACACTGTCTGTCCTCCTTCCCACCATCTCAAGGACTCTGAGGACTGGCTGCCACTAATGATTTTAATAGTTATCAGCTATATCACACCCCCAGTTACGCTTCATGATGCCTTTGAAATTTTCCTGTACACTCACCTAAGATCTCTAACCTCCCCCCCCCCCTCACACACACACTCTGGTTCTAGATGTGGTTGGTACTGCCACTTATCACATTTTATTAATGACGGTTGGTTCATTTATAATTTCAAACAAATAATTAAAGGCTGATTTTCTAGAACTTGGTCCTTTCTTTTATCTATGTGAAAATCTTGGCACCACAAACTGCTATTGTACTGTCTGCTTGGCATTCCAACAATTTTGCAACAAATTCTATTCTGTATTATTTTCAGGAAAAATCCAGAGTAAGACAACACAAATAAGCCAAATGAAGGATACACACTCCATGCAGTCGTATTTAATAAGGTGGATTTAATTGCAGAACAGAAGAGGCACAGAATCCCATTCACTTTGGAAGGATCGGGTTGCCTGGATACATCATACCTGGGCAGCAAGGCTCCATCTCTGGGCCCCACAACCTCAGCATGAGCCTCCTTCCATTTCCCCTGGTGCCAAGCCATCCACAGAAGTTCTTCCTGGGTGGCTTGTTTCTCTTTTTACTTCCCAGACCCCCACATTGTCACACTCTGTTCCTGCTCAGTTGGACCTTCACTGCTGGATCTGAAGAAATCACCGCAGAGCCACACAGCCTTGAGCTCAAGCAGCTATGGAAACAAAGCCATCAGGCCACATCTGCAGGGGAATTGTGAATATTCACTTAGTGAAAACTGTTAAGTCACTCTAAATTGAAAACGGTTTGCATGAATTTCCAGTGTCATCGTCATCTCTTCTAAGTATATTTCCGTAATTACTTTTCAGATCATCCAGAACTCTAGCATGGGCAGTGAAAGGATCTTAGGGACATGTCTAGAACATGTCATAACCATATGCCAAGAACAACACAGGTAGGCACACAAAGGAGAAGGAAGACATGTGTGCCTATCAAGAAAGAGAAAAACTAGAGGAGATAATTATACAACTTGGATATACTGCAGACATGTTGCATGAAGATAATTACAGAGAGGTAGAACCACAACAACAGAATGTTCCCAAAGATAATCGTGACTAGGGCTTTTCTTCCTTAAAATTTATAAGCTACTACTTGATACATTTTTTTCCTTCCTGGCAAATATAAACACATTTTCAAATTACACTGCTCAAATGCAATACGTTAGATAAAATGCTACTGTAATAAAAAAAGAAAACATAGGTAAAAGAAAAGCCCAGGTAATTTCCACATTAGCAGGAATGTATTTATTTAGTACCTTGAATTTTAAAATTATTTCAAGTTCAGAATTTCTCAGCTGAAAAAGTTGATAAAAGAAATTATTCTTCTTAAAGTATTTAACAAACTTTTTTATAAATATAAAACCAATATAAAACAAAATTTTATATTTGAGAAGAAAACTTAAGACAATACCTTGGAAATATCTAAGACATGGAGAAAATGAATTAAAATGTTTTGCATTGTATTCTACTGTTGGGATAAAAATCAAGTTTTTCATGATAATAATTGAACAAAGAGGTAACCTTTATATGTGTATATAAATTGCATTAGAAAATAAGGTAACCCATTTTAAAGTTATTAAACCAAAAGTATTTTTATCAAAACAATAAATAGGTGAGTTTTATAGATAAAAATACATATATATGAAACTTCAATGAAAATAAGTGTAAAATGAATCACCAAAAGACTGCATTTCCAGGCTCCACATCTGAAACCCATCATAAAGCAGAGATGATGTAGGATTACACATTCCGGTGCTGCTATTATAGGTTGCTAATTTATTTAACAAGGTTAAAATTATACATTAAAACTTTTAGTTTTAATCTTTATTTGAGAGCAAACAAAAAGTTACACAGTTTGACATAAAAGTGCTCCCACATGACATATATCCCTTGTGGAACACTCCACTCTCAGGTTAGAGATAAATCCATGAATTCTAAATTTTCAAAAACCTACAGAGATGATTTTGATTTACGATAGTGGGACATGACAGGCAGTATGAAAACTCTGGGTCCAGTCATTATTCTTAGAATGCTGTGTTTTCATTTGCAGGACACTCCTCAACAAAGGAGTCTGATTTTGGTTCACAGTTCTTAAATTGTGCAGGAATTTTATTATGATAGCTTGCTACCCAAAGAGGAAGTTATCCATAAACAAAAACAATCGTATGTTTTGTTATTTCAATGCGAGCCATTGGAACTCTTTTTTGGATCTTGCGTTTTAATCAGCTGGTACTTAATGTGAATCATAACCAGCAGAAGTGGATGGCGTTAAATTAACACAAAACATAAGTTATAGAAGGAAAAAAGGAGGACATCAAGTGAGTTAAAACTTGGTATAGTTAGGAGTTTGATTTTTTGGGGGGGTTTGTTTTTACATTGCCCAAGTGATCTTGTAACCTAAATCATGACATTAATAATCTAGGTAGTAACCGTTGTTTTCAAATGTTGTAATTAAAAATACTACCCAGCCTAAAATTAAGCACTTTTCTGCAAAAAGACACCACTTATTATTTTTTGAACAAATTATTTTATTTTCTTAAATATATTCCTGACACCATGTGTTTGTTCTTGAGCTAGCTATTGACTATTATTTTTAGATAAGATAAGCATGTTCATTACCAACAAATTAATCTTGTTTTAAAAAGCACTGAGAAGTGTGAAGTGATTAAAATGGAGGACTTCCATCTGTATCTCCAGCTCGGAGCCTAGTGATTGTTGGCGATTCAATACTTTTATAAATATAAGATCTAATAATTTACTTTGAGTATATGTTTTAAATTATACACAAAATTTGCTCAAAACTGGGTTTTGTTTTAGAAGATGTACTCAATCACAAAATGTGTTTTATAAGCTAAATTTAAAGCACATCATTACTAATTTTTTATTATTTAAGAAAAATTATTACAATGCATCTGTAAACTGTAGTTTCCTACAGCAACCTTAATTCTTTTAGTCTTACTTCACATTGTAACAGGATTAATTTTATAAAGGCAAAAAAAACCTATTGTGAAATTAGTAATATGATCTAATAAAAGGCAAAACATTCATGCAAGTAATATTTACAGTTTAAGCATTTTTTTATTGGTTTTGATTTTTCTACAAAGTACAGAAATTCCCCTCCTGCACTTTCTCTTTCTCTCTTGCCTTAAGATGTTTAAAAGTTTCAAAAAATCTGCATCTTCTACAGATACAGAATTTGGTAAACACCGAATTATTTCCAAAGTTATTTTTCCTTTTTCTCCTTGTAGAAAGTCTTGAAGACCTTCCCCCAACCTTCCAAAATCTCATTTTCACTTGAAGTAATTGCATCTAATTTTTTTTTTCAGGTGAAGGAGACATTCTTACAAAGTTTCAAATTTCAAAATTCCAATAAAGCACTTAAGCACTCCTCTTTATGTGTGCGTGTATCTATTATTTTGAAGTTGTTATTTATACTGAAATGGAATCTTTTTAGCTCCCCAGAAATACCTTAGTGAACCCTCAACCGTTTCCAACCACTTAATAATTGTGACCCCGTCAGCCCCTTCAAGTAGATCGTTAACCACAAGAGTGTCTGGCAATTTCCAAACCATAGCCTCTGTCCAAAAGGAAAAGATAGGGCTGTTTGAGGCCGAAAGGAAGTGAAAGAAAACAAAACAAACGTAGCTCATGCAGAAAGTGAAAAGTGCTTGGACAGATTAGTATTTTTCTTTTCTGTAAGGCATCCTGCCAAGCGTCTCTCGGTTTTTGCGTGTAGGAAAGTGTTGCTATCTACCACTGCACGGTCCCCTCATAATAACTGTCGTTTTTTCTGTTGCTCATCCGTTCTCATCTGACCGACACCCCCGCCTCACCCTGTCAAAACTCCAACTCAGGGGGACTTGGGTTTAGAAACCCTGCCGACTCCAGACGCTGCATCCCACCCGGTCCCTTCCACATAGTTTATTTCAATCCTGAGACACCCCCCCACCCTCCCACCCCCCGCGCCCCACTCGAGCGGTTGCAGTAAGAACCGGAAATTTTCATTTAACTCTCTCCCGCCCTCCGAGCCCCCCGTTCGGAGCCGATCGGTAGGGAGCCGAGCTCCGGCAGGGCCTCGCTCTCTTGCTCCGGAAGGCTTTAATTTGCACATTCGCCGCCGGGCGGGTCTCGGGCCCCCGGGACTTGTAGGTCCCCGCCCCGCCGCGCAGCCTGCTGGCCACGGGCCCCCAGCCACGGCCAGAGCCCCGAGCCTCCCCGGCCTCCCCGCGGGCGGCGCCTTCCCTCCGCCGTCCCTCCGCCCACCGCCGCTGTGCCCACCCCCTGCCCGCAGAGCGCTGCTCGCCGTGGCCGCAGTCAGTTACCTGCTCCGCGCGGCGAGCACGTGCGGGGGCCGACGGACACCCCAGCTTTTCGGGAGGCCAGTGCCCCTGGCCCACAGGTAAGGAGCCACGGGCTCGCGTGGGTGGGCGAGGGTAATGAGGGTGGGGGGGGGGCTGTGTGACTCCTCGGAATTCGCCTGGATTAACCCCTTAGCACTGAGACTGGGTAAGTTATGGGGGTCAGCTGGGGGAGCTAGAGGTCTCAAGAGGGACCTCCCACACCAGGGACACCCCGACAGCCAGGGTCCTGTGCCAACTTGGACAGATTCGTGCGCACAAACACCCACCCATACGTTCAGTTCTCATGGAACTTCTCCAGAGGAACTCCACTTGGACAGTCAGATTTAAGGCTGAAAATGCACCGTCTGGTGGGATTCCACCCCCCACGTTTATTTTCCCTAAGCAAGTTCCTTCTGAAGCCTCCCGAGGTGTGGGTACCGGCTCCATCTTCCCCACTAAGGCATAAACGTTCACGTCGGCTTCCTGCTGGCGACCCCGCGAGCGTATTGTGCACGGAGGCGTGCACGCAGCCCACCAGGGTTGAAGCCCCCGCGAGCACGCACGCAGGCTTGCTTAGTGTCCCAAGTTTACTTTTCTTATTTAAAGATTTGCAGTTCAAATGCAACCCTGGCCAAGAGCAGCTCGGGGCTCGGCGGCGCACTAGTCCCCGTGCACGTGGGCGTATCTGCGCGGGCGCATCTGCGTATGCGCACACGCGCGAGTCGCGGTCCCGCGGGCGGCCTCCCCTCGCTGCGCTGGTGGCGACCCTTGTAGCGTTTGGCAAGGCTTCGGGAGAGGCTCTTGAAGGATTTCATTGAGTGTGAAGACAGAGAGCAGAGACAGAAAGCAGAAGGAGGCGGCTGCAGCCTTTGTAGTCGCGGAGGAATGCGGAAATGTTGAAGCACTATGTCAAACTTTTTTTGAAATGGGGTCAAGTCACATTCAGCCAGCGTGGGAAAGCAACAACAACAACAAAAAAGTGGAGGAGGGGATGGGGCTAAGCACCGCCGCTCGCGTCCGGGGGGTGCAGGCCCGCGGGGGTGGGACAGCGGCCGCCTCCGGGAGCCTGGCCTGGATGCGGCCGGAGGGGGAGGGCGGGCGCCGAGGCCGCGGCTCCCGCTACCTGTGTGGCCCTCGACCTGGCGCGGACCCCCGGGCGAGGTCTGGGGGTTCCTTCCGCAGCTTTTCAGGAACTCCCTCAGGAGAGCCCTGAGAGTCCGCCCTGGCAGCGCAGTGCACGCCCGCACCCAGTGGGGGTCCCGCCATGTGTTGTTTAATTCCAGGCAGAGGGCGAGCGGGGGAGGAGGGGTGCGGGGCAGGTAAAATGCTGGCCCAGGGTTCCGGACACGCGGCTGTCGTGGGCCAAGGTCCAGCCTAGGCTGAGGCCACCGTGGGACGGGAAAGCTCGCTCGGTCTTCCTAAGAACTGAACGGGGAGGGGAGGCCCGACCTGTCGCGCGTGGGACGCGGCCTCCAGTCCCCGGGGAGCCGAGCGACCTTTTCAGCTACCGACCTCCAGGCGCTCGGGACACCGGGCGGAGGTTCTGCCGTCATGTCCCAGGGGCAGCCCCCTCTCACACCCGGGACTCCTACGTTAATCCTCCACCCCCACCGTCGTAAGGGCGGTTGCTACAACCCGTTTGCACGGGTTGAAGTCAACTGAAAACTTAAGGACCAGTCCCGGTTATCTAAGTCCCGAAATTACTCTTTCAGGACAGGACCAGCGAAAGTGTGACGGACTTGGGATCTCGGGAGGTTGAGGGGAGCACGACACTCCTCCCTTTCCAGGGCCCCTCGCTCTCCCACCCCTAGTAGCCCCAGCCCTCCCCTACCAGATGGTCTGTCCTCTCTGAGTTTCCACCAGGGAGGTCCTTCGAGTCGGAGGCCGGCCGAATTCTGGCTCCCACTAAGATTGCCATACCCCAAAGACCATTTGTGTATGCGAGTCCCTTTTAAATGTCTCTCGGTAGAGAAGCTGAAAGTAGAAAGAAAGGAAGCAATTTCCGAGCAGATGTCTGACCACCCCGACTCGCGTACTCCCAGCATCGGATTATAGGGTCCTGAGAGCCCCAACCCCAGTCCTCTGCCCCATAAGGGTGAACCCCGGGCGCCCCGGAGACGCCCATCTCCCCGCACGTCCAGGCCCCGGAGTCGGGGAGGGCAGCGAGAACAACGGTATAGGTATAAATATTGAGCCGTGACATTGACGCGCCCGGCGCCTCCCCTCCCCCGCGCCCCAGCACACTCTGGGCTGCTCGGCACGCCCCCTCCGTCCCGCGCGGCGCTCATCCCCGAGGGGCCCTGCAACCTCTCCTCGCGAAGACTGCACGAGCCCTGCTGGGCAAAAAAAGTAACTTGGCTTTTCTCCGAGAAACCCGGCGAGATTAGGCAGCTGGGTGGAGGGCCCGGGCAAGCAGAGGGGAGGAGGGGAGCTGGTGGAAGCCGGTGGAAGTCTCCAGGGCTGTCTGATCGCACTTTCTCCTTGTCCTCCCGTCTCCTCCTCCTAGGTGCAGAGATTGTGGGCAGACCAAGCGGTCGCTGCGGAGGGGGAAGAGGAGGGATCGGCACTCTCCTGCGGCGGCGGCGCGGCGACTCGGCTAGGCGGAGTTTCGCGGCGGCTGCGCCCGTCTTTGGCTCGCGGGCGAGGAGGGCGCCCAGTCCAGCCCGGCGACCGCGAGTCCGACTCCGGGCGTCCCCGAGGCGTCCAGACAGCAAGCGCACACTCAGGACCCTCTGTGCTGCACCGGCAGCGTCCAGCCAGCATGGAGAAGGACAGCCTGAGCCGTGCGGACCAGCAGTATGAGTGCGTGGCGGAGATTGGCGAGGGCGCCTATGGGAAGGTGTTCAAGGCCCGCGACCTGAAGAACGGCGGCCGCTTCGTGGCTCTGAAGCGCGTGCGGGTGCAGACCGGAGAGGAGGGCATGCCGCTCTCCACCATCCGCGAGGTGGCGGTGCTGAGGCACCTGGAGACCTTTGAGCACCCCAACGTGGTCAGGTGAGCCGGGAGCCCTGGCCTTTGAAGGTGCCGGCAAGGGGAGGCTGGTGACCCTCCTACAATCACAATAGAGTTTTGCCAGTAGAACCGGTGACCTTGACAGATGGAGCAGAAAAGGAGACCTGCTATGGCTTACCTGCAACCAAGCAACTCACAAGTGATTTCGCGCCATTGCTTGCCCCAAGGGTCTTGGGTGGGGTGAGTTGGGTGTCTTTTAGGGACAAAACCAGACGACAGTCTAGAAACGTCCCTCAAGCCTTTACTTACTTTTGCCGTCTGTGGGGGAATTTTTGAGAATCTGAGAATGAGAGAGGTAATTAGAAGGAAACTTGAAGGATGGAGCCTAATAGAAAGTTTAAGAAAATGTTGAAATGTGTAAGAATATGTTTGCCAATTGCAAGCATAGTGGTAGCTCTTTTTAAAAAAAAAAAAAGATGTAGAAGTCATGTAGAATAATGACTTCTGATGGTCTAAGAAGTTTCAATACTGACGCCTAGTGTTAAACATTGTTTGAAAACAAGTCTTCTAAGGCTGAGTACTGGGAACACTGAGCCGGAAGATCCATAGTTCAAGGCCAGCCTGTGTTAAAAAGGACCCTGACTGAAAAGAGAAAGGAAGAGGAGTTGGCGGGAAGGATGGGGGGGGGGGGGGGTGAGGAGCCTTCTTAAAACCCTAACTGATTGTGTCATTCAAGGTCTGAGGACTGGTATGGCCTTAGACTGCCCCTCCCAAGGGTTAGATGTGAATCACACTGTGTTAATTCTTAGATTCTAAAACCTGTTTTCTCTGGAAGACTTGTGCAAGCGGTGGGGCGGCCTTCTAACCAGCTCTCCTGTGAAGTGCCAGCGTAGGCGGTGAGGATAATGGTGTTTTCTCAGGCCTGCTGGGGTTTCCCGGTTATTAAACAAATGCATAGCTCAGAGTTAAAAGGGAGATGTGCAGACCCTTCTACAAGTTAAGCGATGATTTACCCTTCTCACTCAACTCTGTGTGTAGGAGAATCATGATCTTGGGGTCTTCTTCTTGTCTTCTCATTCCTGTGGGGATTTGGTGCAACAACTATGTGCTTACCGTGTGTCCTGAGGATGAAATTAAGTAAATAAGAACAGCCAAATATTTTGTAGGAAGTCAAGCAATTTAACATTAGTCATCAAAATGGAGAGACCCAAGACTGACCTTTGAAATACCAAGCCCTCTACAGACCCTGAGTCTACAAAATCCTGGGAGGTTTTTGTAGTGCTTGGTTTCCAATATAGTCAGACTCAGGCCAGAACGCAGCAGTGAATCATAATATATAAATAAGTAAAAAAGACATTGGAAAAATAGGACTTCATTATCCTTATGCTATGTGGCAAAGGTACGGGGCTGGGGTGTGGCAACAAAAGATAGTGAGATTTTGGAGACTTTCTAGTTCCCTAGAAAGGCAGAATTTACTTAAAAGCAATAGGTTGCCGTGTGTGTGTGTGTGTGTGTGTGTGAGAGAGAGAGAGAGAGAGAGAGAGAGAGAGAGAGAGAGGCGGGTCTGTAATAAAATGGAGGGGAAAAGGTGGCTCATGCTGACTCTCAGTTACTATCCTAGAGAAGTGAGGCTATACCAAAGGATGAATTCCAACATGAGGATTTAATACCAAATTTATTCTCTCTGTTACCTGTGTAGGGTCCACTTAAGGGTGATTATCGTATATACAAATAAAGTTCTTCCAATGAAGAGCCGTTAAACAAGCGCCCTTGCATGGCCCATTTATTGAGTGCAATCCGTTATAAATTCTTGAATCAGAAGAAGGCTGTTCTGTTATGCTGCTGAGGTCATCCCATCTGTTTTATCCTCATGAAATTGGTGTGTCTTTTGACAGTTTTAGTTGACTCCATAAAGGGATTCTGAACTGCGAATTTCATTAGAATCTACTCATAAGTAAAAAGAAAAGATGCTTGCCAAGTTTGTTTTTACCTTTGTGACCCTCCCTACTTAGAGTTATGAGGATAAAGTGAACGTAGGTGAAAGCCCTCTAATGTAAAGGCACTTCAGGTACCTGAATACGTCAGAGGTTTCCGGGCCCCCAGGATCATTATCCGACACTTTTACCGAACAAATCAGATTGGTGTTGGACACTCCGGACTGTTATGGCAAGTCTCTTCCTGGGGCCACACGTCACACTCGTCTGCTCGTCCCAGATAGGAAGCCCCCTGCAAACAAAGGACAAACACCAACAAAGTCCAATGTTCTTACAGAAATATGGGCGAGGGGTGCTTAAGGAACAGGAGCAGAAGTGACTCACAGACAGCTGCATCACTGAAGCCCACCCTAGCTTGGGTGACAGCTTACAAACCTGGGAGCCTGGAGCACGCTGCAGGGAACAGCTCACAGGTTGGAGAGTTGAGATGCCTCAGCTGGTCTCAGACTCTTTGCAGCTCAGCTCCACTGAGGGAGGTCTTCTTGGCAGCATGACTGCCCTTCCGAGGGGGACTCTCAGCTTCGAAGGCAGGACGGTGTGCCTGGTGAATCTTGGTCCGTTTCCAGGACTTCCTGAAGCTGCTCTAAGTTGTTCGTCTTCTGCTTAAGGAGCTTCCTGGAGGATGGAATGTTTTAATCCCCAAGGACCAAGAAGCTGCTTGGGTACCCATACCCTGAATTTGTTAGCAAAGGCAGTTGGCAGGCTCCACGTGAGATTAGTGAAATGTCCGCAGTGTCATAACCAGTGATGTCATCCTCACAAGCCGCCATCTCCATTTCCTTTTGGTTTCCTTCCTGTTTTTATTTTTCACTGCCCTGCCTCCCAGCCCTCATGACTCGCTTGGCTAAGCTAGGAATTCTTTTTCTGGGGAGGGGGGGCGATGTTAGGAAATCCAGGACAGGTGACAATAATTCCTTTTCTTCCAAGGGAGAGTGTCAAAAAATGAGCCCCCCAACCTGTAATTTATGTCCTGCCTGAGGCAAGTTTTACACCCTTAAGCCTGTTTGTTTGTTTGAGAGTGTTTAAAAAGGACAGATGCTTTTTACAGGCCTTCAAGCCAGAAGTAATTGATCGTAATTATAGTCCCTGTCCACACTTAGCTAAGCCTCTAAGCTTGAAAGCGCACAATCAACATATTAGTTTTCACAGAAGTTTTAAGATTTAATTTTGATGGATTTACCAGAAAGGCAGACTTGTTACTGCTGGTGTCCAAGCACTCCGAGCCTGCACAGCAGAAGTCATGCCTTCCTGCACTTGATATTTCCCAGGCTCAGGCTTGATGAACCAGTAGTGCCCTGCACATAGATTTTCTCTTATTTTACAGTTTGTAATCCTGAGGTCTGGAGCCTTCGCCAGAATCAGACTGTAAGGTTGGCGTTTTTGCATTCCACAGATGAGTTCTGTTTGCCATCCTGAAACAGAACACAGAGATGAACTAAAACATGTTTTTATCAGCAGTCTGCTTATGCACCAAGTGTATATTGAGGGCCTACTATGTGCCAGACAACTTCTAGAAAAAAGAAACAGGTTAGGGCAATGAGCAAGTCAGAGGGAATTGCTAACCTTGTGAAAGTAGCTCTTTTTTCCTCCTCAAGACAGGGTTTCTCTTTGTAGTACTGGCTGACCTAGAACTAGCTCTGTAGACATGGTTGACCTCGAACTCAGAGATCTGCCTGCCTTTGCCTCCTGAGTGCTGGGATTAAAGTATGTCCTACTATACCTGGCTGCTTGTGGGCTGGCTCCCTCCCTCCCTCCCTCCCTTTCTCCCTCCCTCCCTCTTAAAAAATGTATTTGTCAGTCTAAGCCAGGCATGGTGGTGCTTGCTTGTAAACACCAGAACTCTGGTGGCGGTGGAGGCAGGAGTTCAAGGTCATCCCCAGCTACTTGGCAAGTTCCCGTCCAGCTTGAACTGCAGGAGACCATCTCTGGTCTTTATTTCAGGTTCTGCTTTCTCGCATTTAACCTGACCAGTTTAATAAAGCTACTAATGTTTGTGACAATTTAGTTATCGAACTTGCTGAGTAGGTAAAGGAGATAAAACACTGATCAGTATCACTTGATGTATGCAGATAGATTAAATTTTCCCTTAAAAACATACAAGTTGATCTATATTAAAAGACATTGACATATTACTAATATGTTGTAGTGATATTTCATTTGTATTTTAATAAATAAAACTTGTCTGAATATCAGAGAGTAAAACAGCCATACTGGTCAGCCTCACAGACCAGGCAGTGGTGGCACACACCTTTAATCCCAGTAGCCACACTCGTTAGCAGTAGAGGCCGGGATGTGGTGGTGCACACCTTCAATCCCAGCACTCGAAAGGAATATAAAACAGGAGGAGACAGTTCTCAGCTGAGTCTCAGTCTGAGGATTTGTGGAGGCAGGATTGCCATTTGGATCTGAGGTAGAGGTAAGCGGCTGGCTGCTTTGCTTTTCTGATCTTCAGGTTGAACCCCAATATCTGTCTCTGGTTATTATTATTCGTGCTACAATATGTGTGAACACTTGAGCTCCGTTTGTTCAAAAAGTGTTAAAGAAAGAAGGTTTTTCTAAAAATCAGTTGTAGGAAAGATACCTAGTAACACTCAGCCACTCAGCTGGTTCTGCTGTCATTGGATGATCAGCTCAGCGAGGCACAGCCAAGTGCTACCTATGCTGCCCTAAGCTTTGTTGGAAAAATGATTCAAATTCAAGTATTGGCTCTGCAAGCTAAGGCATTATTATTAGATTAGTATTTAGTCCCGTATTAAAAGCAAAGGAAATGAGATGTGCAGCTCAGTGATTATTTAAGGAGCTGCTTCTGATTTTTCTCACTGTAAAGATCTTAGCACTATGTCGTGTGAAAGGAGAGGAAAAGTGTGGCCTGTTGGGCTGGAGAGATGGCTCAGTACCGAGAAAACGTGGTATGTGAAGCCAGGTTGCTAGAGGTGTCGGTTTGTGGAAATCCGTATTGATAAAAGTGTCCTTTTGTGGGTTAATGATCTATTTGGGGGGCTGACTTCAGTGAAAACAGGAAGAGCAAGACTTTGGGTCTCCAATTAA